CTCCCTCCGCCCCCGGAGGGGGGCCCTCTGTCTGCGCCGTCGTCAAACTCGCGACCAGCTTAAAAAAAACGAGCCGACGTCATGTAAAAATGAAAATTGCGCAAAATGCCTGATACTTGGGGGGTTTGAACAACAGGAAAAAAAACACATCTCGAGCTTTAATTGTTTAATGTACTCGGCCTGCGATAACTCAGTCGCGGTATCGCGGGCAACAAATCGCTTAGAAACACTGCAAACGAAGGCATTTCACAACCCTTCCTCACCCCCGTCAACATTTTTTTTACCACGAAAAAAAAGGGACAAGGGGACGAAAAATAGAAACCTCGTAGGTTGGCCGCCACGCAGTTACCCGCCAAATTTATGAGCTCATTGCTTGCGCGAGGGAAAACGAAATATTCTTTCACCCCACTGAGCTATCAACGACAAACAACACTGTCGTCACGGACGACTAATCATAAAAACAAAAAGGCTGCGAGACCCACGCGGGGCTAGAGGGCGCCGGCGCTTTCTAAACGATACGTCGACGGCATTCACTTCCGCCATAAAAGACCGGGGCCGGCCCAGGCGACCTTAACCATTCGGATCGGGACGGCGGCGATAGGAAACAGGGGAGACGTTCCGAATTAGTCGAATTTTTATTGAACCTCGTAAAAAAAAGGAGAGAGGTTGTGGATCTGTCACCCCGAGCCAGGGAGGGGAAGGACGAGTCTCCGCGCCGTGACCGCCATGAGAAGGCAAGCCCCCCCCCTCCCCCTCCCCAAGCGAAAGGCCAATGGAGGACTCCCTTCCGTTTCGAGATTCCTTCACGCTTATTGGATTAGTAAAGAAGTCGGGACTGACAGAGATGGCTGACAAAAATGCACTCTCGGAGACGGGGGGTATTCGAAGCACTTCGACCGCACTTGAAAATTTGTGCCCACTGTGATCCGTCTCCACATTTTGAAGAATTTCGACTTATTGTATTACTGAGAAATTGTTCGTTTAGCAGAGCAATAACTAGCCCAACTTCAGGTTGGGGTTATAACCTCATACCTCATTGTTTGTAAATTTAAAAACATCAGATGATATCCATTGCAGACTGCAAATAAAATTCGTCGAATAACGAACCAATTCTTCGAAACCATTGGCAGAGAGCGCCTTGCTGACAAGCCATTAGGGACCGGTCGAACGGGTCCAACTATAGCCAGTTCATAGACTTCTTTAAAGGAAAAAACCCAATTATGGAAATGGCTTTTCAAACTGTTCACAGCAGAGTGGATAGAGGGGAGTGAAGGGGTGGTGGTGGGAGGGGGGGGGGGA